CATTCATCTCTTCAACCAGTTTGTAGCCATATTGCGATATGCTTCGTTTTATAAAAATGTACATGTATCCACTACAAGCAGGAGTGAAGTTTAGCTATGAATGTTACCGTATAAAACATGTTGGTTTAAATGTCCATTTTAATAACTTTGAGAATAGCTGGCTTACTGGTTCTCTCTGCTTTTGCTTTGACATAGCTCGCACGTGACACAGGTGTGCATATAGTGTACATGTAAGTGTACATTTATGCACTTAAAATCTACATAAGTATGATTATATAATATAGAGGTGGCAAACCTGCACCACGACTGCCACAGATGGTATGGACAGCCTCCATACGTGGCACGCAGCAGGTTGGGGAGGGGGCAGGAAGAACACTGGCAGATAGGCAGGGAGCAGAAAGCGGAGCAGTAGAGCAGGCAAAGAGCACAGGGCAGAGAGCAGGAACAGATTAGCAGCTTGCTCTAGGCGCACAGGGCAGGGAGCAGAAAACTGAGCAGTAGAGCAGGCAGGGAGCACAGGGCAGGAAGCAGAAAGCTGAGTAGTAGAGCAAGCAGGAAGCAGAAAGCTGAGTAGTAGAGCAAGCAGGAAGCACAGGGCAGGGAGCAGGAACAGATCAGCACCCTGCTCTGGGAGCACAGGGCAGGGAGCAGAAAGCTGAGCAGCAGACCTGGTAAGGGCAAGGGATCAGGGCGGCACTTGAAGAGAGGGTAGGGCTAATTTGTGGCAGGCCAGAAAAGTTGGCCCACACTCTTTTTTTTTTTTTTTTTTTTTGAAGAGCCTTTTTCTAATCATTCAGCCATATAATACAAGTTTTTAGAGAGAGACTAATGTACCAGCATTTACCCAAGAGACAAATATGGCTCTAAATGAGCGTTGCCAGTCTTTGGATAAATAAATACACATTTTCTTAATTCTGTGGGAGGATTCTCAGTTTTTCTTTGCCTGTGGAAGGAAAAGAAATAATAGAATCCAGCAGGAACAATTATTACATTTTTAGGCTGATAAAAGCCAAGCAAATTATTTTATAAAGGGATGTTGTCAAATACCTTTGCCTGTTTGTTCTATTTTACTTTCTGATCTCCATTTTTGCAGTGTCCTCTTAGAGGCCTTCAAGTACAAATACTTTTTTCAATGAATGTTCTTTCTTTATTTGGCAAACTGCTTCCTACCCCCACTTTCCTTTTGAATGCAGCTGTAATAGATATGACTATGTATTTCACAACTGTAATTTATATAGGTCAAAGCATCTTTATTTATGTATCTAATTGTGTGCAGACTTTTGGGAAGTGATATGGTTATAGTTTCTTGTGCAGCCAGCCCACGTAAGGCTAGATGCAATTTTTGTAGATATGCCTTCCCCCACCAAACACACACTCACAAAAAATGGGCTACTCTCAAAGTGCTCAGTAGTCAAACAGTTGATTTTCCCCGCTATATTGTTAACAGCTTTAAGGCAGAATAAAGTTAGGACTAGGAAGCATGACATTGATTCTCCCTTTAAAACCAATACTTGTTTGTGAATGCATCATTGGACTGGATTGTGGTGGGTTTTTTTCCCTTGTTCATTATGATATAGCTTAAGAATGAGATAATATGAGACATTCAGTTAGCACAAAAATCATACTAGTATAAACATACATACATCTTTGCTGCTGGATGGTTTAGCTGTAATTTAAAGATGTACTTTTATATGTCACTTTAGGGATCCTACATATATAAATAAATAACAGTATTGTTAAAATTAAGCTATTTATTTGTGTTGTGGCAACACCTTGTGACCCTTTCTTGGAGCGGGGATCTCATTGTGCCAGGCATTATGCAGAAATATAATGAAAAAGAAGTTTAAGCTGCCTTTTTACAGGCTGCACCTAATTTGCAGTCGGCAGCCAAAACCGAAGGGTTCATGAGTACAATACACCTTTGCACAATATCTGACGGCACTCAGGTTCTAGTGCTGATCTTAAATGTATGCATCCTTACTACAGCACATCCTATAAAGCTGACTACTGTGCATAATTTTAATAGCTTAGTCTCTGATCCACATTATAAATAGCCTGAAAGGATCTTAGCATGCACTCCTGGATTAAAACCCGAACATTTGAACGGGGGGAGGAAAACAGGGAAAACCTGGCAAGATATGTAAAGTGATGCCAAATATGTGGCAATAATATCAAACCGACGAGTCGTTCTCTTGGAGGGCTCATAGCATCCCCTCCTATCACCTCATTTACCTGGGTGAATTTATCTTCATTTCTGCAATGTTATTGGCTTGACCTTCCATCTGCAAAAGTCCTATTAACTGCAGTGCAAGTTTGGAGACCAGAGCAAGGGTCTTTGCATCAAGGGGCCAGTTTCAGATGTTCAAACACATTGCAAGGATTTCAGTGTCGCCTCCACTAGGTCTCTTTGTTCAACTTCTGGCGTTCCTTTAGCCCAAGGAAAAGGGCCAAAGATCATCTGCGCACATAGAATAAAACAACTCCTGTAAAATTGATGATCCGCCCAATTATTTATCTTTGGAGGCTGTTGGGAGGAAACGCAGCTACCTCAGTTCTGGGACCCCTCTGCCAGGTTGAACTTCATGGCTGAAGGTTTAATTCCTGTGTGTCATATCAACAATTCATTTTGTGATATTCTGGCTGACATGCTCTCCTTCCTTATTTATTGATGTCTTCAGTCATCGGCAATGAGAGGAAAATACACTATTTGTCAAAGTGACGGTGTTTTACCCTCAGTTACAGTTGATGCTGCTGTCACGTTGATGGTTAGAAAATAAACTAAATCATTATAAAAAGCTAAGAGTGCAAACTTGCCAGTGACAGGAAAAAAAGATGAAAAAATACAGTAAGTGCTTAAATTTGGATTATAAAAAAGCCACGTCGTCCAAAGATTTTTTTTGCATCCCAGTTGCAAAATATCGGGCCGTTTAACTACCCTGCCTTTTCAGTTCTTCCTTTTGAAAACGCACTCTTTTACACTTCTATATCTTAGTCATAGATAATTGTTATATTTCAACCTGGAGCCACTTTGCTAGACTTCGATTGTTTTAGTTTGATTGTTTTTAGTTTTTTAAATAAAAGAAACGGTTTTAAAATGACTGTGTATACCTATTTTTTGTGTGTGTTCCTGAATTTTAAGTGCTTTGATAGTGAATGAGAGAAAGTATGTTCTACTTTTATTTGGAAGGTTGCTTGCCCTTCAAACATATGCAGATTAGTCTTGAATCATTTTTACTCATCTGCATAGCTGTATACTTCACCTTACAGTTTTTTAACTCGGTAACCACATATCTTACCACATTTCACCTTTGGGAGGCATTGTATATACAGCTAAAAGTAAAGAGCAGCAAGCCAGCAGGGACCAGATAGCATAATGGGGATGTCAATTTGTGGTCAGATATCTTAAGAAATATTTATCTTACTTGTACTGTACTTGGCAACAGACACAGACATGTAAACTGTAATGAATTTCTCTGGTCTTTACCTGACAGAATATATATTACCTTGCATTGAAATGAACTTACCCAAGAAAAAAACCCAGAAAAGAAAAGAAGGTGCCTACGATTTGTTTCCCTATAGTAATAATAATAGTAGGAATAATAGTAGTAGTAGTAATAGAAACATGTTCAAGGCAATTCTAAATCAGATAATTTCCAGAAAATTTAAAATTGTTTTATTTTGCCATACTGATACATTACTGTTTTTTTGTTTGTTTGTTTGTTTTTTATAATTGATCCCTACTAGCTACTAGTGTTACAAGGATCATCAGTTGTTGAGGTCTTGCTCATTTAGTAATCCAGGACTAGACCTCATTGAGTAACAGCAATAACAACATAGGGGTTTATTGTTCAGAGCTGTGCATATTCCAGAGGACTTCCGTGGTTTTGGCAATCATATTTTTGGCAACTTAGGCTGAGTAGCCTCAAGGTATGTGCACATGGCTGGAAGTCAGAAACTCCTGGTTGTTTCAGATTTCCTACCTGGCCTCAGGCAAGTCGCAACCACTTGTGTCCGTTTCCCCACCTGTAAAATGGGAGTCCTATAGCTTCCTTTCCTCCCCTACGGGGACGTAGGGAGAATTAATGAATGTTTGAATAGAGCTCTGAAGATGGAAACCTCCAGTATGTTACACAAGTATAACAAGATGATAATACCTATCTGTAATAGCTATTTCAGCTTCAGACCAGTATGTGATTAAAGCTATTTCAAGAGTAAAATCCTGCCTTGTCCAAAATCTTTGTGTTATGTCTCGGGGCCTGAATTTTCTCTTTGACTTTGCAACTGTTTGAATGTAATAGAGACTGTGAAAGCAACCAAACTAAATATGAACAAAAGGCTATTCGAACCAATTTAATTTGGATATCTGTTATCAAAAATACTAGGAGACTTAGAAAAACAGGTCTCTAAGCATGTAAGAAATGCTGTGTACCCCAAAATGGCACTGCCAGGGAAGCAAAGGAGGACCCTAGTTGTTGGAGTTGATATGGCAGGGTCTCATTTTAGTATAAATAGCTGGAGTTGAGGAACTTCAGAAGAAAGATCTTCTACTAATGCGTCTCTTTGAGGAGCTCTGTGAGTTGTTTGCATCTGAGTGAAAGCTTCCTCATCTTTCCCATCAAGCAAAAGAGAATGAAAAGGGGACAGAGAGTAAAAAAAACGTGAGAAAAATGAACTCCCACTACTTGGAGTAAATTTGAAAGTCTCCCTGCCCTTGTTACATGGGACAAAGGTCAGCATCTGTCCACGGGGCTTAAATGTCCTCATAAGAATTTCCAGGGGACAGCTCAGATTGTTACTTCTCCATTTTTAGGTTACAACAGAAACTTAAACTTTGTGTTGGTGATTTCCTTCTCTTTGCAGTTAGGTGGAGTGATTAGGCCAATGTATATTTAAATGCAGTTGTTCCTTAAATATCTTTCTTGGAATTTAACCTGGCATTTTGAGGGCTTACAGTCAAAAGCTATATTTTTCATGATTTACTTTTGGATTTATTAATGCAGAACAGATCGGACAGGAGATGCTGGAAAACCTCAGCCATGACAGGGAGAAGATCCAGCGTGCTCGGGAGAGGGTAAGTTTGATGCTAAAGAATTGCTGGTTTAGGATTTTATGTCCTTTGGGCAAGTTCACTGCTAAGCAAAAATAATCCGTCACATTGATTAGAGCCTTAAATAAGTCAATTGTGATATCCTAGTATATAATCATCATCTATAACTACCTATTAAAAATAAGACCAAGGTGGAGGTGGGACTGATTCTAGCAACTCTATCCTACAGGCAGACTTATTGAAATGAATGGGTCTGTGCTTGGAAGCAAACACTCCAGTCCTGATCCTGCCACCAGGTCTGGTGTCCATCAATGCTCAGATTTTCTATAGTACCCATTTCTATAAGGGGTTAACAATGTGGAGATATTGGACGCAGCCTTTTGACAGTCGAAAATAACTTGACAGTAAGCACCAGGCAGGGACGAAACAGTGAGCACAGCCATGGACTCAATCTTGAACTACTCGGAGAATCAGTGCAAGCTAATAGAGGGAGAGACTGGTTCCCTTCCATGTTCTGCCACTGGCCTACTGGCTGACCTTGGGCAGATTACTACTTCTTTTTCAGTTTCCACATTGGCAAAATGGGGAGAATGATACCAACCTCATTAATAAGCACTTTTGAGATCTTCTGATGAAAATTGCTCCTTAAAAGCTAAGTATGATTAGAAGATTAACATAACAAATATTAAGAAAAGAATAGCTATAATGGTCTGATAACATCATGTCCTTGTTTTATGGAAGGAACTGGTGTGTCTAGGTGCATTATGACTATGGAAAACAAGGAAGTGGAAGAATTGTGACTGCAGAAGCATATAGGACCATGAAGTACACGCTTCAGGTCTGGAGGGGGGTGGGCTTCTGTTTATTCCTGTTTCCAAAATCTGATGCCAATCAGCAAGAAGCATCAGGAGTTGAGAAGAAATTAGGACAGGAGAGAGCAAGAAAGGAAGCAAAGGAGGCGAGCCACAACTCTGGTTTGCCCTAGAGGCAATGATTTTCTTGGGACTAAGACCCACTAAGACAGTGTTCACCTTTGTTCACTTAGAGGTGAGAGAGGGTGATGCTCAGTACACATGCCACCTTGGGTGTGTTAATCCCCCAACATCTTTTTTTAAAGCAAAGAAGACCCTCTGTGCTCCTGGCCCACATTCAGGGTCCCCCCTTCTTTCTCCGTGAGGCAGACATATCTAAATAGTTTTCTGTGTTGTGAGTCACCCAAAGGATTTTATCCAGATGACACATTAGCTAGGAACATCATCTTTCACATATATGTATATTTGGTCAGTTAAGAAAACTCATGCGTTTACCAGCCTCTCCCCCATCTTAAAGAGGTTTGGGACATCTTGAATTGGGGAAGACATTTGTCCACAAGGCAGCTGTACTAGGGCCCTTTGATTCTGAACATATGCCCCACGCCAGGCACACTCACTGCATTTGTCTGTACAGCACCTAGGAGGGGACTTCGCCTCACTGGGGTACCGGTTGTGGTCAAGTCACAAAGGAACTTCATGTTTTTTCTTTGGAAGCCCCTGTGCTATCCTAAAAAATCAGGCCCTTCCTTGAATGCCAAGAGAGACCGAACCCAAGGTAGATGGTGATCTGTTGAGCTGCAAGATCGACATCTATATTCCTCAAGTGACAGTGTCATCAAAGAAACAACATTTCAGTGTCAATGCAGTGGAACAAAGCGTGATCAACCTGAGGTTGAATTCCAGAGAGCTCGTTTTCTGGGTTCTGGGCAAGAGGCCATAAATATCCTACTAAGCTAATTGAATAGTCCTTAAATACATCCAGTGACCCTTAGCATAGTCTGAGAAGCTTTTGTGCATGTGTGTTTGAACTTTTGGCCCCCAGTCAGTTGGACTGAACATCTTCACCAGGAATCAATGCGAGGAAGTGGATTATATTTATCTCCTTTTCCCTGATCCTGGTGATCCTCACAAAAAGAGGTGAGGCCAGGGAATATGTGCTTGTTGTGGCCCCATGTTTTTTGCAGTTGCACTGTTGTCAGCTTCCCAGAAATTTAGTTCTGGCTTCCTGGAGACTTCCTTTTCCAGGCTTCCTGCCTGAAGGCCCATATCTCACCGATATGAGATCACAGCACAACTTGGAAGCCACATGGAGCAAGATCAAAAAGAAATGAACTTTTGCTGGGTAAGCTGAGTGAAGAGCCTCCATGCAAAGACCCGTTGTCAAGCTTCTGGTGCTAATATCCTGTTTTATAATACATAGTTAGGGCTTTGCTTTGGAGGGATTCAGAAAAGTTCCCCACTTAATCCATGTGAGTGCATAGGTCTGCATTTTGAGATCCATTCAGAAGTTACGCCCTTGGTTCACATCTGTAAGTTTCCTGTTTTCTCGTTTCTTTTTGTTAAGGTTGGTTTCCTTGAGTGGCTGGCCAGTATCTTTCCACTACACATTCAATGGCATTGTCACAGCAAATAAACTGTTCCTGAAAGACTGTGGTTTGACAGTATCAAACTGGACTATTGTATTCACTTTTTAGGGACTTGTTGGGAAAATACTGACAAATTGGAGAGATTTACTTATGAGTGATAGTTAAATGAGTTAAATATATGCATAACTTGGCTAAATAGTAAAGACATGATAATAGTCTCTAAATGTCTGGAGAATGAAAATCCCACGGAGGGAGAGGATTAAATTGATTTAAGGTGTCAAAAGAAGTATAGCTAGAAATATTTGCAATAAATTAAGAAATTAAAGATTTAGGCTGCATACTTAAAAAAAAAAAAAAAATCTCTGAAAGTACAATGTCAAAAACAATTCTACAGGAAAAATTACCCCACTTCAGGAATCATTTTAACTAGATAGGATAAAATTTTTGAGTACTAATGACTGTTTAGGAACAATCCTAGTTTGGCAGAGGTAGACAATACGACTTGCTAGTTTCCACCACACCCCTCAGTTCCATGAATCTCAACTCCATCTTCAATTCCTTCCATCTTTTGCTCTCTATTAAAAAAGACATTTTAAAATGTCGTGTACTTGTATAAGGAATACAGATCTCTAAAACTCTTGGTTCAGAGGTGGTTCCTTTTATTAAACCTACTAGAAAATAGCAACAACAACAAAAAAAGATCTTTCTTTGTAAGCTTTCGGGCACTCATTTAGACTTTTAAGGGGCGATCTCAACACACTTTCCAAAAAAAGTCCTTAATTTTTCTTCCTTGCACTCATTTGAAATAGAACAACATTGTTTTGCATATGTGTGCACACGTGTGTGTGTGTGCACGTGCACGCGTGTGTGTATATGTGCATATATGTGTGTGTGTGTGTATGTATTTTGCCCAAGGCCACATGGGAAAGCTGTGAAAGACCCAGGAATAAAACCCAAAATTTCTGACTCCAGTCCTCCACCACAATTTCATTTCACAATTTCTTAACAAGAAAATGTGAATGATTAGTGTTTTGGAGGATAAACACATCATGATAGTCCCAAAAATAGACCAGTATTTATATTTCAGAACATACTATTTGCATGTATCCTTTTCCCCCTTATTTTATCAGTCACGAGCAAAGTCATAAATCTGTACTTCAGCATCCAATGATACTGCAACCATCTAAAACAGTTCCCTGGTTTGACATAGCTGAGGGTAGTGTGACATCAGCTGTTGCACAGTGATCAGGTATTAGCAGGGAAATGGAGAAAAAACAGCCTTTTATTTAGAAATGAAATATTTCAAAGCATGCTTACAGTTTGAAAAGTCTTCATGAGTTCTCTGCCAATGGAAGAAAAAGAGCTTGGGTTCTTCTCCTGTTCTCTAAGGCTGTAGATGGAATCATAGGATTATAGGCTGGAGGAGACCTTACAAGGTCATCTAGTCCAAACCCCTACTCAAGGCAGGATCATCCCTCACTAAACCATCACCAAGTGTCTGTACACAGATGGATTCCACGTTTGTCCTGACGTCCCCTGTGCTGTTATATCATAAGTATACTAGCTCCGAATTATTTTTACTAAATGGCTTTGCCTTTTGTCTGTGTAATGGCTGTGTAACTCAGCCTCCTCTCCCTCTCTACATTTAGTAGTGATTATGATTTCCAGATTTGCCAGAGCAATCTGAGCAAAACTGACCTAATATTTAAAGATACACAGCAAAAAATATTTTTTACAAGAAAGAGAAAAAAATACTGAACTCCTCTGCCCAGCATTGAACCTCTGAATTTAAGATGAGAGCAATGCAAGGTGTGTATTTATGCTTTGTTGTCCATCTGTATTTGGGATAAAATATTAACCCTTATTAAGCTTTTTTTATTTTAAATAGCAGCAGTTTTTTATAGGGTGCTAAGACCTGATTTTAGATGTTGAATTGTCTTGCCTTGCAAGCTAAATTGGGCACATCTACATGAGACGTTTACTACGCAGTAACAGTCTACGTGTGTACCCCTATTAGGCTGGAATAAACTCATATACTCCACAGCAGGAGCATACTTGTAAATAGTTACACTTGTAAATACAAGTACTATCCTGCTGCAGAGTGAAAAGGTCTGCAGCAGCGCAAGTGTAGATACTGCTTGGCTGGCTTGGGCACGAGGTTGCTTCAGTGTGGGGTCTGTCTGCTGGCTATCCTCATGCTCCAGGCAGCCCCTCTGCAGCATGTTGAGCCAAGGGAAGCAGCCCCAGGCTGGCAGGCTTGACCCCCCCAGGCTCCCTGCCAGCTGGGGCTTCTCCAGCCCAGCTCAACATGCTGCATATGAACAAACTCCAGAACTAATTGCTTCTGGGTGCATGTTCAAATGGCACGCCTAGGAGCAATAAACTCTGAAGCAAATAGCCCCTTGTAGGCTGGAAGGCATGGTTTCCCACATTTTTCTTCTTTAAAGGAGAATCCATTTTTAAAGCTTGTTCATGACCCTTTCATATATTCTTGCGACCCACTTTTGGGTCATGACCCACAGGTTGAGAAATGTTGCAATAAAGCATTGGTTGTTCGGCCAGCTGAGTCATCCCATAACTCATTAAATCAGATGCAAGGATGAAACAGTAGATGTTGAATTGTTGTGTACCCAAACAGAATACAGAAGCTCCTCTTCCATTAACTCTCTCAGCAAATCCCCACTCCTAAGGATAACTCTCATTGTGTCACGTGAGACATGGGTGCCTTCCAGATGGTTAGCCATTGGTCAGCAGAAGTCTGTGGCTGATCCATCAGAGATCTCACTGGCCTAGGACTAAGAGATTAAAAATTCCTCAGGACAGTCCCTTGGTTCCTAATTTTGCAACTGCAAAAGCAGGTTGTGGAAGTTTTCTCTCATCACCTAAAAAACTAATGCATTTCCTAATGTTTCTTTTACTTTCTCCTTTACATTTGGTTGTGTTACATAGGTATGTCCCCACACTCTGCGCAGGTTTTTCCCCCTGAAGCTATATCTGCATAATAAAAATAGTGGCTTTATTTCTTTTGAAGAAAATTGTGTTGCTGTGGATTTCAAAAAAAAATATAGTGCATTTCAAAAAAAGGGGGTGGGGGTGGACTGCTATAGTTGCCAGATTTTACTGTCAGGTTTTATTCCTGTTTTTGCTGTCAGTGCTGAAACAATATTGAGATTCAAGATACCTGTTTTTCCCAAGAGTGAAATATCTAGGACAAACCAGCAGATCTGAGTGTGTATGAGAAGACTGTTCCTCCACAAGGAATGCAATAATTGGTTGGCTCTCGTCTTCTGGTCTTGAAGTACAAGTGAGAGGAAGGTGAAGGTCCTTCTCTTAGAACAGACTGCGACACCGGGTCCATCCACCGCGAGGGAAGGCCAGCATAGAGCTGTTTCCCAGCAAGGTCTCAAATCATCAGAAGTCGTCATTCAGAGGCTCTAAAAATGTTTTGAAACTCTGGGATCCAGATGCTCATTGCTGAAAACATCACACTTTGTTATACATATGGTTTGCACCATTAGTAAAGTTTGCAAAGTATTTGGGGATCCATTCAGTGCAACTGCCCATACTCTATAAAATCAGGACCAGCTACTGTCTTGACAATAGGTACAACTTTCCTTTGTTGGCTCCATGGATATATTCACGGTCTGTTTTGCACTGTACAAATACAGCAGTATTTGGTAATGCTGGTTTTCCTTCACAGTGTTTTATCTAGGGAGCATCTTTGAAAGCCAATGAAAGAAAATATATAAAAAGCCAAGAAGAGCTAACACTTTGGGTGTTTCTTCATCTCTTGATGCCCACGCTTAACTCCTTCCAATATGCATAGGCATTACACACACACATCAATGGGAAATATAGATATCAATCTGTATTGCATTCGCTCATCAGACCTTTATTGCTAGAGCCTTTGCTCTTTGTCATCTTTGTTGCACTGACTGTTTTATCTTTCACAGGTTTCATCTTTATGTAAAGAAAAAAAAAAAAAGGAAGAAGAAAAAAATTGCACTTAAATTTCAGAGTCTTTACTATGGTTCTCAAATGTAAATCTATTGTAGGTTAAACTGAGGTTGCTTAAGCCAGTACAACATTGTGCTGTTTACACAGAATAGAGAGCGTGTGATTTTTGTGTTTTAATATTACCCTTTTCTCCTCAGCTTAGAGAAACAGATGCAAACTTGGGGAAGAGCTCCAGGATCCTAACTGGGATGTTGCGAAGGTAAGGCCAAGGTAGGGACACGTTTTCCTCTCTCCTCTCTCTTTCTGTCCCCCGCCTCCCTCCCTTTTTTTTTTTAAAACCGTATCTCCAAGTTTTGCTAACTTGCGTATTTTTCTGTATAGTCTTATGTGTAGAATCTCTTGAAACTAAAAGCTGATATTGAAGCTGGCTTGCATTGAAGGAGGGGAAAGAATCAGATTGGAGGGAAGGTTTTCCCACAGAGGTTTTTCTTACACAAAGGAAAGAATTTAGTCTGGCTGTAACATAGTTTTCAATAGCCTCAGGTGCAGCCTCTTTATGCAGCCATTTGTCTTTCTTGTATTCCAAAAATAAGTTCCTTCTTCACGATACCTGACCCATTATTTCGGGGGATGCAGCCAAGTATTTTAACACGTTAGCTTGATTTTATTCTGGTACGTTCAGAGAAGCGTGTGTGTGTGTGTGCGTGTGCGTGTGTGTGTGTGCGTGCGTGTGTGTGTGTGTGTATTTCAAAGTATTTGTACTTATTTAGACTTGGAGCATCATTCTTAATTAAGTCTTTCATTTTGAATGCAATAGGGAGCACAATGCACCAATATTATGAACGTGTGTCCCTAGGATTTAAAGTAAGGTGGGAAGAAACATTTTCAGCATCTTAAAAATCTATCTCAGACTGGGGGAAGGAAGTAATGGACTAATTTTCAGTTGCCTTGAATTTAAATCAGCAGCTTACCAGGCAGCCTCTTTTGAATTGGTGGAATCCCCTGACCTGTAGGGTTTATACAGCAAAGCAACATTTATGTGGCTCTGTGGTGTCCATATTTTTACGGTTGTATTCAGCTTCTTAAAGAAGAAAAGGGTCAGCCTAGTGGGTGGTGTCAGACGTTATGAGAGAGAAACTTTTTAAGGAAGATGGAGTTTAATAGAATATTCTGCAAGAATTTGATATGTGGTGACCCTTCAGAAGTCCCTTTGCAAGGTACAAGCTTTCATATCATGCATATTTGTTTAAGGCAGTTTGGTAAAACTTTTTTTTTTAAAGCAAAGTTACTGATTTATCGCTAGCCCTGGAAAATGCCGACAAACAGAATTTAATAAGTTATTCTTTTGTGCCAGCTTTATCTCTCCATAAGTCGAGTTGGGAAAATAGCTTTCTTCATTCCATATATACCCAGCTGACAAAGGTTAAGATAACTGCCCCTTATGCCTCCATTTCACCAACTTCTCTCAATTCCAACTCTGAACCGTAACATAGAAAATTCTCTGATTAAGAGTAATATGTAAATGACATAAACTAAATTCAAAATCCACAGAGAAAGGAAGTGGCAATTGAAAGAGATGGTTGAGTGCCTGTAGACAATCAAAAAAAACACACAACCAAACCCATAGCCTCCCCAGGAAGGGCCCTGCGACATGAGCTGTAACGAATATTCTGCATATGTCTCCATTTTGTCAAATCTCATTAAAGGGGCTTCTTGCTTTATGTCAATTGAGCTGTCTAAAAATCATTCATCATTTTTAGTGTAAAAAAAATCATGCAGTTATTTAAATAATATCATATTAATGTTAAAGTTCAGCTGTCACTTAATAGTATGGCTTAATCAGACATAGCATTTAGGAAAAATAGTTTTTTCGGGCTTTGCTAGGCTTTCAGGTTGGCAGATTCAAATAAGGATTTATGGGTTTCTAAACCAATGTATTTTTTCCATGTTTATGCTTGATGTACCTCAGCCTTTTTGGCAGGACCCTGTAGTCTGTTATTTTCAATAAAATAAAGTATCTCCTCATATTGTGTTTGAATACATTTGCAAGTAATTTGGAGAAGCTGAAACAAAAACATATGCTGTAACCTTTGACTTTGTTTTGTGTTTGGGAATCACAGTGAGAAGTCCTAGTTTATAAGTGCTCCATAAAACAAATGAAAAATATGACCTTTGTAAAATATACTCGAGGCTCTGTTTCCAGACAAATGGATTATGTAGTCAAACACTAAAAAGGCATGTTTTTTAATGTCAGAAGGCCAATGGATTTCCTTTTTCTTTGTCAAAAAAATGCCTGACTGAGTCACCCATCTGGATAAAAGGCAGATTAAGGTTTGGGCCAAGCAAATAGGGGGGATACCCATGGAATGATACAGATGTGTGTCAGGAAGTGCCTGCGCAGTGGTGATGCACACAGGAAGAGCTCCTCTGAAAATGTGCTCGCGCCTTTATTTGCAAATACTTACCAGATTCCAGAAGAGACTTCATTTCATTTTAGCACTGTAAGGACAAACCTGGCTGGGGGATAGTCCAACCTCGGCAGCTCCCAAGTGTTAATTGAATTACGGAAGGAACAACAGCAAGACGCAAAACCAGGAAGTCAGCAAAGATCTCGATAGATCAAGTGAAAGTGTAGGAAAGTAATTACCGTCAATTGGCAGTTGGGTCTGAATTCTGCTTACTGTGCTAGCTACCGTGCAGGCGCTCATTTAATTACTGGAACCAATAAAGAACAATGATACAGGGCTATTATCATATGGAAAGAGCATTAAGTTAAATGTTGCAGTTTCTACTTGCCGGTAGGAATCTGCTGCTATTCTTTGAATGCTGTGTGCCTGCCTTAGTCATTAATGCGATCTTTTAAATGGAACTGTTTGTATTTTTTACAGCTGGAAATGTCTGAGCACCTTTTCTTATGAACATGATCAGATGTTATTTTAAAAGCTAGATAATTTGATAGACTTCTGTTGCGTACTCTTATGGTATCCAAGTATGGATTTGGGAACTAAAATGATGTGTGGGATCCTTTTCAGGTATCTGGCACCTTTCTTTAACATTTAGAAATGGGGGCTTGAAGTGAAGACGGGGTAAATCACAAAGTAAGAAGACGCAGCAAATTAATGGCAGATTCGGGAGAGAAACCTTACCAGTGGGGGGCAACCTTTTTAGTAAGCATGCCACAAATGAAGTCCATGCTCTCTCAGAGTGCCACTCTGATGTCTTTTCCCTGCCCAGTCTTCTGCTCTTCTTTCTGCTCCTAAAAGAAACAGTCACCTCCGAGGTATCAGAGTTCATTATGTACTGCTGGAAAGTGCCTATGGGTATCCATGTGAAGAAAGATCTGTAATAACTGTTTTTAAAAAATTCTTCTCACTTAACCTGAAGCTTTGTCTTCCTATGTTCCCAAATATGCCATTTTTCTGTATAATGAAAAAAACATAAGTTGGCTGGTGACTGTGTTGATATCAGCAAATTGGGAAGGTCAGGCAAAAGGATTAAGAGGCTATTTATTCATATTCCTTGACACTTACCCAGATTTCCACACACATCATAAAAATGAAGACAGCCAACAACAATCAGACATTTTCAGTACATAATAGTAGCTCACCAAGTTTCCAATTACAAAGTTTCTAAATTCTAGTATAATAAATGTATTATATGTCTGGTATGCATAATATGATTCCAACCTGATATTATGCCTCTACCCTATCTTATAATGAAGTCCTGTCTAAAGCATCCAGTCCTGAACCTTCAGTCCCTTTCTGAGCTGTAAGAGTTTTCAGTCTGTTAGAAAGATGTCAAAGCAGGTGTAAATCCCATCCCAAATTATAAAACCCCCATTCACATTTTCAGAAACAAAACCGTTGTCCATGATTGAGATCAGTAGCCATGATAAACATTAATAATGCAACTGGGTCAGTCTCTAAACAACTTAAACAGTCCAATTAGAAACAAATAAAACCAGGCCCTGAATAAAAATGCCAGGAGAGGTGAATCTCGATCCTACTATAAATAAATACAGCACCTGCCAGCTTCCTTTCTGAAGGAGCCATGGTAGAACCCAAGAACTTTTTGACATTATCATTGCTTAAAAAAGTAGAAGTCTCCAAATGACACATCTTCCCTCTAGAACATCATTGCTTCTGACTTTGCAGCTGAATGTTTTAATCATTCAGATTTTCATCTTCCTAGTTGTTATACATGGTATGCTGAAAAAACTCATGAACATAGCTGTCCATATAAAAGATCCTATTTAAGACCTCTAAATAGGACACTGCCGTTAATGCAACGGATGGAAATGATGCAATAAGTGTCCAACTTTCATGTGATAAATTATGTGAATTGCCAATACCTGCATGACCATCAATATTAGAACCAGTAAAAGGAGCAGCAGTAAAGGCACTGCAACAGAGTGAAGGTGTCTCACCATGATTCCAGAGGCATAAGATGAAGCTGCACTTCATATGCATGCAAAAGGCAGCTCCCAGTTGACACAGCTGTAAAATAGTGTTTCAGGTTGGAAAGGTAAATGTAACCAGACCTAATTCTAGCCCTGTTACTCCCTTGGGGTAAATGCAATTTCTAGCATTCTTCAGCTATGCTAGCCGTATGGGGTGCTTGTTTTGGGGGCACCTTGGGTCTTCAATAGGGTTGCATGAAACTTTGGTAGCTGATTCAATTTGGAGGAGATTCAGCCTGATTTGGCAGCTGAATCTCCAGAACCAAATCAAATCAGGACACCTATTAATCTCTCCAAATCAAATCGGAAGCCTCCGATTCAATTCGGAGAGATTTGAAGATTCGGCCATAGACTCAGCTTTATGTGTTTATTCTACCTACCTTGAGGTACCAGGCACAGCTCGTGAACACTGAGATGGTTGGGCGGATGGAGCATACCACAGGAGTGTGGGATGGTCCCCCGCATGCTCGGCAGCAGACCCCCCCCCTCCCGCTCCCCAGCTCAGTGACTGATGCCCCCTGGGTCTGGGGCTGAATGCCAAGCCGGGGAGGTGCAGGGGAGGGGGTCTACTGAAGAGCATGTGGGGGACACCACCGCACTCCCATAGGTTGCTCCATCTGCCCCACCATCTCAGCATTCACAAGCCATGCCTGGTACTTCGGGTAGAAAAAACATAAACTGTGTCTACGGCTGAATTGCTGATTCTCCAAATCGGAATTGAATCTTCAGATTCAGCTGAAATGAATTGGAACAGTGATCCGAATCAGCTAATCGAATCACTGTCCCCTGCATCAGGCTGG